CAGCCGGGGACCCCGAGTCCCGAGACTCCGCATCTGCAGCGCCACCACCACGCGCCCCCCACCCGGGACAAGCCAGAGCAGGTGACCTCGGGGACCCCGCACCCCGAGACCCTACGCCGTGGAAGTCCACATCTGCAGCATCACCACTTCGCTCCCCCTGCTAGGGACAGGCCGGAGCCGGTGACCCCGGGGACCCCTAGCCCTGAGACTCCACAGTTGCAGCGCGACCGCCCTGCGCCCCCTATCCGGAACACGCTGGAGCGGGTGACTTCAGGGGCCCTGCATCTGCAGCGCCCCCCCCCCCCTGGGACAGGCCGGAGCCGGTGACCCCGGGGACCCCTAGCCCTGAGACTCCACAGTTGCAGCGCGACCGCCCTGCGCCCCCTATCCGGAACACGCTGGAGCGGGTGACCTCAGGGGCCCTGCATCTGCAGCGCCATCCCCCCGCCCTCCCGCCCCGGGACCAGCCAGAGCCAGAGACCCGGAGTCCCCGGCACTCCGAGACCGTGCACCTGCAGCTGCAGCGCACTGAAGAGTGGGTGGCCAAGCACCAGCAGATGCCTGAGCCCCAGGACCAGGGCCCTGTGCGTGCCTGGTCGGTGCTGCCAGATGACTTTCTTCAGCTATGCCCGGAACAGGGCTCCTGTGTCAGGGAGACGGCACCCTCAGAGCTCCCTCTGTCTTCTCCTGGTCTCTTTCTCGAAGTCCCGGCTCATTCCTCGGAATCCTGGCTGGGGAAACTGCCAACGACTGTCTTTCGGAGCATTCGCTGTCAGCTGTCCCTACAGGATATGGATGACTTTGTGGACCAAGAGAGCCATGGCAGCGAGGAGAGCAGCAGTGGGCCGAAGGAGTCCCCTGGGGGGTCGGAAGAGGGGCTGCAAGGTGCCCCAGGAGTCCCAGACTTGGGAGAGCCCAGAAATCCAGCGAGGGACTTCTCTGTATCCCCAGAGGAGGGCATTGCCAGCCCCAAACCTCAGGACCTCAGAGGGGGCAACCAGCACTCCACACAGGCCCCAGCACCTGCCAAGGAGTCTTTACCCTCGCCAGCTCCTCTCAAACCTCGGAGATCCCTCAAGAGGAGTCCTCGGGCAGGGAGGGCCGCTCTGTCCTCCTCTGATGAGGAATGCCTTGATGAGGACTCGCTGAAAAGGACTCGTCGTCCACCTCGACCCAGAAAGCCTTCCAAGGCAGGAGCAGTGCCCAGCCCAAGGGTGGATGTCGCTTTGACACCAAAACTGCCAGGTCGGCCACACAGCTGGCGAGTCCCCAGTGGGGAAGGGCCTGCAGCCTTGGTACCTCACAGAGCTTTTGAGCACAAGTCATCCCTGGTCCCCTTAGAAGCCAGGGAACATGAATGGATCGTGAAGCTTGCTAGCGGCTCCTGGATTCAGATGTTGGCTTTGTTCTGGGAGGATCCCCAGCTGGCTCTGCACAGGGACTTTCTGACTGGTTACACTGCTTTGCACTGGATAGCCAAGCACGGCAGCCTCTGCGCCCTCCAGGACTTGGTCTCAGGGGCCCGGAAGGCTGGGATTGTGCTTGATGTAAATGTGAAGTCCAGTTGTGGGTATACGCCACTGCACCTTGCTGCCATCCACGGCCATCAGGGAGTTATCAAATTGCTGGTGCAAAGGTTGGCTTCTCGGGTGAATGTGCGGGACAGCAGTGGGAAGAAGCCATGGCAGTATCTGGCCAGTGGTACTTCTGGGGAAATATGGCAGCTACTGGGAGCTCCTCGGGGCAAGCCCATTTTCCCTGTACATTCTTTAGTCCAAAACTCTTCCCCTACAAGGAAAACCAAGGATCGGGATTTATCTAGAAATATTACCCGAAAGACTTCCTTGGCTGCACTACTCAAAAGTCAGCACAACAAATGGAAATTGGCCAACCATCATGAGAAATTCTCCAGCCCAAGGGAAAGGGAAGAGTACAGTGACTAGGTGGCTCGTCTCTCCTTGTGCCGCCACCCCTCCCTTTTCTTTGAGCTACTCAATGAGAGAATTCAAAGGGATAGAAAAAGGGTGGAGGAGCTGGTAAATAGGGAGGTCAGCTCAGTGGATACAGGGGTCATCTCACTTTTTTGGGGAGGGTGTTACCAGGGATTGAACTCTGGCCCTGGCGCTTGTGATGCAGGTGCCAGAACCATTGAGCTAAATTCCCGGCCCTATTCTCAACTTTTGAAGGCGCATGTCACTGAAACCTGGACAAGGGGACAGAGCCAGGCCCTCAAAACCCAGGAGCTGTTCTTCCTTCTCCTCTGCCAGGGTGGAACTGGGCACCGTAAGTCACACTGCTTTCTGCAGTCACAATCTCAGGCGTTGGCAGAAGAAGGAACAAATGTCTAACAAAAAGAGACACAATTCGAGGAATTGACAAAGCTCAGGCAAAATTTCTCTGGCTGGTAGTTCTCTGGCTTTTCTTCATTTGGAGATTAAATCTTGGCTGAGAGTGGAAAGCATCAGGTTTGAAATCAGATGGCTTTCTCACTTTATGTGCTTTTTGACATTCAGATCAGTGCAATAAGATTATTACTTGAGAGTAGAATTTGACTAAGGAGATTCCACTGCCCTGTGTTGGAGTCCTCTTCTGATCCCACCTGTGGTGGCTGGTGTGGGACCTGATTGGTGCCTCTTCTGGGTATCGTCTCCACCGTCCAGAGAAGCAGGTGAATGAGACCCAGCTGTGACCTCCACTCCACTCCTGAGAAATGACTGGCTTTTGGGCCTTGTTTTTTTGTATCAACCCAATGGGAACTTTCTGAATAGAAAAACCACATGGCCCATTTGCATAGTGTCTGAAACAATCTTTCAGGGAAACTCCTTGCGTAACAGTCAGAATCATCATTAGTAGTTTTCAGTAGGTTTGAATGGCCAAGAGTTGGTACTCACAAAAGAGAGAAATGATTTCTCTCTGGGGAAGCAATAAGGATAAGGGTTACAATAAGAATGGCTCCCCATCACAACTTTTCTAAGCTGCTAAATGTAATTTTATTTGCACTAAACTTGTTGCCAATTAAGATCGTATATTAGTACTGTATATCTAACAGGAAGGGTTCCTTTTAATTGCTTGTGATAGGGCTGACTGTTGTGGGCTGTAGGAGTGAGGGAACGGCTAGTCTAGCCTGGAAACTGCAGCAGAACATTGAGATTGCTCAATGTCAGCCCAAAGAGGGCTGAAAAATTCAATGCTCAGGTGGAAGTTGTTAAGTTTTTATGGTAATGTTTTCATGTATGGTGGCAATGTTGCTGTATTTTTAAAGAATGCTTGTGTTTATTCTGGTTATATTTCCCATTAAAAGATGAGCAGATCTTTATAATTTATTATATTGTACTTTTGCTGATTACTGTTAATGCTAATAATGTACCTCACTGAAATGTTGTCCCAATGAGTCTCAAATATATTTGTTTCTTTATATTTATAGGGGTTTTTTTTGCTGAAATAAATATATCCTTTTTTAAAAAAAAATTTTTTTTGGTCCTGGAGATTGAACACAAGGCTTCTTGCATGCCAGACAAGTGCTCTACCAATGAAGTACAATCCCAGACCTTATCTCTTTTAAAATTTAAAAAGGGACCATAATTAAATCTACAAGCTTTCCCCCCAAAAGATCCCCATGATGGGTGAAAATTTGGCAAATGAAGAAAAAAGAGTGAGAGAGAGACAGAGGGAAAAAATGACATCGTGGGGCTTGGTTTAGAGTAAAAGAATGCAAGATAAACATCTATGTAAACACTACAGTAAATATCAACCTCTCAAAGGCGAATGAGTTTTTTTTCCCCCAGATTGTTAGCACATCAGATTATCCTCAAAGTTTTGGGGAAATGCTGTGGGATTTGTAAAAGTGGGTGACTTTTAGCCTCCTAAAACTTAAAATCATATTTTTTTTCTTGGCTTGCTTTTTTGTTTTCTTGGTTTGCTTTATACCTTGTCTTGCTCCCAAGGGGTCTATTAAAGGTGCCCTGTACCACACAAAAGCTGTGAAGTTAGGCAAGAGGAGAAAAGGTGGTACCAGGACTGAGGACAGACAGCTGCAACATAAGAAAAAAATTCCAAGTGTCATAAGTACAAAATTAAGTGCTCTGGATTTCAAGAAAAGAGTGAGAAAGAAAGGGAGGTGGGAAGAGGGAGGAAAGGGGAGGAAAGGGGGAGGAGAGGGAGAAACAAATTGAGGGGTTCAGAAGTCTTTAGGCTGGGAAAATCAGAGAGGGCTTCATGAAGCCCAGGAATCTTTATGTGAATGATACTGGCCATCCCAAGAAACCAGCTGTGGTAGTTCTACCACATTCTTGACCTCTGCTTCAGTGTGTGGTTTACATAGCACTACTCCTGGCTGATTTCTCACTGGTTAGAACACAGTCCTCCATCCCAAGTTGTTTCCCATCAGGATGTCATGTTCCTCTGGCTTTGTCCACATAGCACATGTCATCTGGTCAGCTCTCTTACCTGATCCACACACGGAGCTGGAGAGAGGTTGAGGCAGGAGAGGGTGTTGGGAACAGCACAAACCCACTGCTTCTGCTGCAGCATTGGAAAGTCCCAGGTCAGGGCTGCCAACCCCAGCACACTCTGCAGTCCCCTACCAGTGACTCCCTGACCCAGGCCCAGTAGCCACACCACACTTTGGGATACTCATACTCAGATCCTCTCGGTTTTTCTTGGTGCTGGATTCCTTCAGTTTAGAAATCTCCTCTGCTCTTTTTCTGTTAAACATATGCTTCAAGAGACAGTTGAAATATAGCCTGTATGAAAATGCCCCAGAGAAAACTTCCAAGCCTGGTGTATGGCTCCACCATTGTTCAGACCCCTGTGACACACCTCACAGTTTTTAATACACCCTGTTCAAGTAAAGAGTATGTTTGGATTTTTCCTTAAGATTTTGGACATCTAGAGATTAGAGAAAATATTTTTAATTCATCTCAATATGCCTGATTTTTGTTTCTTTCTCACTATGTTGCCCAGGCTGGGTTCTCCAGCCACAGCCTCCCACATAGCTGGAACTACAGACACTGCCACTCTGCCTGGCTGACAGTAGTTGGTGTCCACAGAGCATCCAGTATAATAGGGATGTAATTCCTGCCTTCAGCAGACTGCTGGGCTGCCAGAGAAGGAGACTGTGAGAGTGAAGTCGCTGAACATAGGCCCAGCATCGTGTCGGTGGTAGACACACACATTCAGGTTGGAGAATGAGAGAAGGGGAGATCATGGAGCATTTTCTAAGTCACAGGTTGTGTGTGCTGGAAATGAAAAGTGTAGTGAAACATTCACATTTCCTGCTCTGATGCTTTCCTGGAAGCTAGGTGGGCCTTGAAGGGCCACATGAACAGAGGAGTTCTGGAGGGGCGTGAGCAGAGCTGAAGGATGTGATGGAGGAGATACTCAGCCATCTACTGGGGCAGGAGCAGCCTGAAGCTATAGGGGAAGATGAGAGTGAAAAAATCCTCTGACACCAGACTGAACAAAAGGCTTTTAATGGTATGTTAAAAATATAGGCATTTTCGAAGAAGGCAGGGATTGTGAAAGCTCTTCTCAGAAAACCTTAGTGTTACTCTAAGTTCAGATGTTTAGGAGCAGTCTTTTTAAATTCATCATTTTCTTAGCACATGTTTGCAGTACATAATGATTACATTCACTGCAGGGAGTTGGCGCATGTATATAACACATCTTAATTCTTTTACTCCCCTATTCTCTCCCTCTTTTGGTCCCCTTCCCAACTGCAAAAGACTTACTTCCCTGTTTCCTGTTATCTACCTTTTACTTGGCTCTTCAAAGTATTTATATTTTGGGTTTTTCATATAAGAGAAACCATGCAATAGTTAAGCTTGTGTGTCTGACTTATTTCACTTAGCGTTAGTGTCTCAAGGTGCTTCCATTTTCCTGCAAATGTGCAGTCTTCATTTGAAGACAGGAAAATGTATCAAAATATCCTCACTTTTAAAGTTTAGCTTAAGCCTTTTGTGTTGTTAATTTATGCTTATTTGCTAGCAAGTAGTGGTAGGCAACAAAGCAATTTAACAAATGGTAAATTTCAAATTTTTTTAATTGCAATTTTTTTTTCATGGTGCTGGTATCAAACCCAGGGCCTTGTGCATGTTAGGCTAGCACTGTACCACTCGGCCACATGTCTGGCCCAACAAATGGCAATTCAATATTAAAGATAAACATCAGAATAAACTGTGAACATTAAATATATATCTGATAGTCTTATTTTCTGCTAGTAAATTTGCTGATGTTTATCATCTCAGTGTACTACCTGCCAAGTGCCAAGTTCCAGATGCTTTGGTTCCCCAGGCTTGGGATAGAATTCACATACCACCTGATTTACCTGCTTAAAATGTGTAGTTGAATGGTTTTTAGTATATGCCTAAGTTGTGCAACCATCACCACAATATGTTCCTGTACAAATGTGAGAACCCAGACCCAGGCAACGGAGAGCCATTGATAGTTTAATGTAGGACAATGACAAATACAAGCTGGGAAGAAGTTTTCAATACATCAAAACAGTACAATTAAATAGACTCAGAATTTAAACTAATCAGAAAGACACTTACATGTTTCAAAAACTAGTGTATGATCCTTAAGTACTTTGTGCTTATCAGTTGTCATTGCAGTTTAGTTGTATGGAATGAAAGCCAGTTGATAAAAGGTGATGTTCTTAGGTTTTACTTTTTTCTCATCTGACACAGGGTTTGCCATGTTGCCCAGACTGTTCTCCATCTCATGGCTCACGTAACCCTCCTACCTCTGCTTCTTGAGTGCAGGGCTACAGGCATAGGCACCTGGGCCTGCTTTATGTCTACTTTTATATTTTAAAGAATTTAAAAACTATTCAAATATCATTTTTATTCTAAAGAAAAATCTTCAAGAGATAAAGAAAAAGAAGAACCAAACAATAACTTTCTCTAAGTTCCTGACCTCAAGCTAATCACTGATAATATTTTCTTGCATAACCCACCCAGAGTTTATCACAAAAATGAAACCATACTAAGCCAAGGATGATGTAGTACAGTAATCCCAGCATTCTGGGAGACAGAGGCAGGAGGATTACAAGTTCACACCCAGCCTGGGTAACTTAGTGACTTAGGAAGACCTGTTTCAAAATAGAAAATAAAAAGGGCTCATCTTCCATTTGAACTGAGTGTTACATATTGAATTCCAGATGAAGAAAGTTTAGATCTCCCGATGATGGGAAGTGGGACAGTTGAAGATCATTTCTCTACTGGACCAGTACTTCAATGCCACTTCTCTTCTTCTGTATCTCAGGGTCATAACCTAAACCTGTATTTTTAAACTCCTGTTTCTATTATTTTGTGTGGTGCCTGGGACTGAACCCATGACCAGGCACGTTAGCTGGGCTCTCTGACACTTCTTGTACTCCTGACCTGCGCTCAGTCCCTAAATTATTTAAAAAATTATTCTTTGCATGTCTTTGACTTGAGCAGTAATTTTCTTTGGTGTTTAACCAGCTTCTTTGTAAGTGTGCTGGGTGCTGGGCTTTTCAGGCAGAGGCTCCTCCTCCTCCCCAAAACTGGCTCCTTCTCCTACCCAGGGTGACGGAGGCAGGAGATGCCCAGCCATTACTAGCGCCTCTTGGGCAGTCACTCTGTGGGGCAGTGGAGCCATCTGGACAGACGTGGGCCAGGCACGGGGAGCACATTTGCTATGCTTGAGTACAATTTAAGTGGGTGAGACCTGCCAGTATCACTGAGCTGGTTTTCATCTTTTTCTTTCCCATCAGCTAGGAAGAATATGTACTTCTCACTATGCAGTTAAGGATGGCCTTGAATGCACTGTGTAGCCCAGGCTGGCCTTAAACTCTTAGCTATCCTCCTGTCTCAGCCTCACAAGTGCTGAGATTACAGGCATGCACCGTCACACCTGGCTCAAGTTCTCTTGTTTATGTTTACTTTTTAAAACGTATTTTTATGGTGCTTGGCATGAAACCCAGATTGTTTACATTTTTAATAGCCAGACGGTCTATTCACCATATTATGTGTTTGCTTAGCTTTTCCCTCACTTTTTGATTTCTGAGTCTTTTTGGAGGGGGGTACTGGGATTGAACCCAGGCCCTTTGCACTGAGCCCTTTTTCATTTTGTTATTTTAAGACAAGGCCTGTCTAGGTCTGTTCCAGGCTGCTCTTGAACTTGCAGTCCTTCTGCTTCAGCCTTTCAGAGTGCTAGGATTACAGGCTTGTATCACTATGCCTCACTTGTGTGTTTTTTCATTGTTACTAATAGAACTGATATAAATATCTCTGTAAAAATAATTATGAGGTTCTTGCGCCGGGGATTTAGCTCAGTGGTTCTGCCACCTGCCACGCAAGCACAAGGACCCAAGTTCGATCCCCGATACCAAAAAAAAATGAGGTTCTTTTATTTATTTCTTGGCTATTTTCCCAAGTGCAGTTTTATAG